CTCACGCCTCCAGCACACACGCGCACACGCGCACACGCTTACACATTCTGCAAATGTGTATGCACACACACAGTCATACATGTCAAAGCGTAGCCCATGCAATCTCACCTCTCCTCTTCTTCCTACTGCTTATCTCCCAGAGAGAAGGAGGGAGCATAAAAAATGAATGGCTGCCATATGGAAGAGGTAGGTTGCGTAAGAAGAGGAAAGCTATTGGGGTGGAAAATCAATTTCGCAAAGTTGCCGACATATACCTTCTATTGGGTAAAATAGCCCACATTAGCCTGTCTTCTCATGCAAAGCTGAGTGTGGAGGTAGGGGGAGATGGATGGAGGGATACAGGGATGAGAGAAGGATGGATAGACTTTGCCAATGAAAAGAGGAAAGAAGTAGAAATGGGGTAAAGAGAGGGACAGTGAAGCGACCACAAAGGAGGAAGAGAGAGAAAAATAGTTCATGTCGCATATGGACTATGCTTCCGATTCGTCACATGAATGTGTTAAAAGTACTGCAATGGCTGCACTCATTAGCTGACACTTTGGCTCAATCCAGAACAGATCCACAGCATACTATAGAGATCATTTATGTCCCCTATGGACCAAACTTATCTGCTGACTCTCTGCTCTCCCCCTGCAGGTCACAGAGGCAGAAATTTGCTCAACCCCCTCTGGATTACAGTTGTCCCACCAAAAATGTCACCTTGTGGTTCAACACATTCACACAAGTCCCCCAACACCATTAATACCAACCTGGTACCAAACCCGGCCCTTGTGTTGCGTCACAGGGACCACACTGAGTACAGCGCAGGTATGACCTGTGGTTGTGCTCTCCAAGGTACAATTATCTATTATGCGCAGGGCTCAGTAAGGGATATCTTTTTATGTTAGTCTCTGCGGGAATGAGATATGTGGTTGATCTCTTAGTGCCCAGTCTTATCTAGAACAAAGCTGCTAGACACGTAGAGATACATCAAAGCTTTGTAACACGGGGAGAGAGCCTACACACTGTAGAGCCTTACACTGGGTTAAAGAATGCATGGCTTATATGGTTTGGTTTGTATGACCATTTGTCACAAGATAACTCAGTTGATATGATTTCTTGTCGAGAGGTCGAGCAAGACAAATAAATCCTTCATCAGTGATAAAACAATGAATAAATCCTTGAGGAAACGTGCTTTGGAGAATATTATGTCACACAAATACCCCTTGTTGAAAATGGAACTGATAATGTGGCAAAACTGTATTTTGAAAACAGGCTACAGAACTGAGATTCACACTTTTGCAGTAATGGGAGCAGTAATGTCACAGTTTTAAAGGTCCACTAGGAGTCCTACTGACAGCAGCTCTGATAAAAATTCACTATAGCAAAGGATTAAATTGGATGTCAAACAGAGATGGTATAGACAAGCACTAATTTTTTTTTCCCCTTGGCTGCCTATAACCAATAAGGTAAACTGAGAAAAAGATGTGTGTCTCCACTGGGAACATTTGTTTTTATCCACCATTACACAGTTTTTTTGACCTGTCTCAAATATTTGATCTCTAACAAACTGAGAGACTAAAAATGAAAGTTTTTATACACAAAGTATCACATGAGAGACAAGTAGATTTAGAAAAAGAGAGTAGAACACAAATAACAGAGAAACATGGTAACCTACCATGTATAAAAATGTGAAAAAGCTCTTTCCTTGTGAGCAAGTAAACACCCAGACTTCATAAGAGCCAAGCAGCTGATGCCTCAGCCTCAGGTGCTTTTAGTCATTTCCAATCTTCTCCCTTAAGTTGAATTTAGAGGTTCAAACTGAGAATAAAATATGAAAATCTATGCCTGTGTTCATCACGATATCCAGCATACATGTGTCAGGTGCCTCTCATTCATTCAGTGCAGTTGTTTGTTCATACATGTTCTAATTCAGCTGTGATTTCAGACGCTGCCACTGCCACCTACGTGCCTTTAATGCCAGTAGATTCACCTGACTTGCTCCTCTTCTCCACTCACCTGTTCACCTGTTCCTCATTCCCTCATTAGTTCCGTGGTATATTTTTCACTTGTGCTCTGCCAGATTATCTTTGCGCCGTAGCTTTCCAGCGCTCTGTTCTTCGCCTGCTGTTTTGATCCTGAGCGTGTTTTGAACCCTGCCTGAGTTCTTTTGGATTTTGCCTGAACCCGACCCTTTGTAGTTTGTTTGCCTGCTTGGATTTATCTATCCTTGTTTTTGTTTTGTTTTTCTAAGACTCCTCCTCGTCCTGAGTCGTGCTCTTGGGTCCCTTTTCTGAGAACCATGACTACAGGGTATGACTTAAAAGTTTCTAACCAGGGCCTCATTTCTCAATAACTGCTCTTAGATGTAAAGAACGTTCCTGTAAAAGATAACCGTCATCCTAACAGATTTCATTTAGTAACCATTTGCATTTTTGGAAGCAGCACATTGAGATTTTATGGTGTAGCTGCCTGTCCTTCAACATGGCTGCCTGTAACCATGCTCATTAAAATGCTCATTGTCTGTAGTAATAAAGCAGATAAAATTAATGGAAAAGGATTATATCAGTGGTCCAAATTGCAATTTGTTTACAATACTAATACTAATTACAAATAACAGTTATGTTATGTTATGAACAATTGCTAATAATTTGCATAGTGTAACTGTTGTCCTACGAGTAGAGAAAACTGGCAGAGTAAATACTCTTGATTTATACATGTAAATTATTTATATACAGATACTGAAACATTAATTAAAGCCTGTCTTTGATTTTTCATGAGTTACTTGCCCTCAAGCAAAAAATAACTACCTCAGATTTACAAATGACGATTCTTATGATATGCTCTCTGAACATGAGAAGTTAACCCCAACATTATTCACCACTTGACTCTTTGTCAAGTGATCTTGCCAAGCCAAAATATCAGAGAATCTGAATAAGTGCCCAACTGAAAACATATTCATCAGGAAATTAAATTGAAACAGATTTTAGTGCAGTTGTAGCACTGTGCTTACTGCCACTGTAGTGTTAAAAGCTCTTTTTGTAGATTTAAGCAAAGCATATGATAGTAGATCATACTCTCAACATATGACTTCCTTTACATATTACATGGACAAGTGGTCCTAATGTCATGACCGATTGTATTAAAAACTGACTTAAAAGTTTATGACTTTTTGTAATATTTTCTGATCCACAAAGGTTTTTATTGATTTTTGGCTGGAAAAATCTTGATTGTAGTAGCCTGTTCTCAATCACTGACAGTATCCAAAAGCTCCACTCATATGAAAAAAAAAAAAAAAACAGTTCTGAAAGTTCTGAAATTGGATCACTTAATTTCATAGGCTGATTGTGATGAAATCCTCCATCTATTATATGTACCTGCAATTCTGTCTGCTTTCTTCCAGCTAGCTTTCAGACAATTAATATCTTGGAAGAAACTACATTACATGATATTGAATAATATTTTGAAAATATATGTTAAAACAGTGAGGTATATGTTTCTGTTGTTTCTACTCAGAAAAAACATGCATTAAAGAAATGAAAAACAAATCAAGGCAGACAGTCTATTTGTGACCAATACAATATCCACCACTTGTCCTTGTATTAAGCGGCCAGCAATGGAAGCTTTCACTATGTTTTTGCTCATCACAGTTAAACAATGCTCAAATGTCCAGGGGGCAAACAAAACTCTTCAATATCTGGTGTGATTTTTTGAGAAACAAATTGAGTGCTGTTCTTTTTTTAACTTAACACATCAATAAACCAAGCGCTTGCCAGACTGAGATAAAGAATAAACTATCATCTGCATTGATTAGTACTTTGCCATTGTGTATTAATAAAGCCAAGATGATCTGTCTGTCATGTTTGGGCTTTTCTTTGCACTTCGTTTTAGTCAGATAATATTACACAGCAATGCTTCAGTTGAAAGCTCATCAGAAGTCTGAAGAAACAGGATGGTAAACAACTTCAGGCAGTGCCCTTTTTGTAGTTGTGTTTTCATTCCAACAGGAGCAAAGCAGGAGGATTCTGCTCAGACCTTCTGACTGAGTGACATAAGTAATAAATGGGTACATTTGAATGGAGTCTGACAAAAACTTAGCCTGTACTGCTGGTGAGCAAACTTTCTCTTTTTGCACAAGTGAAAGGAGCCCAAACGACTCTAATGTCAATTTTCTCAGTTTTCTGTATTGGTCTGACATTATGTAAACTCATTCCATACATTCAAAGGTAAATTTGAATTTAATTTAGCATGCTGATCATTGTTCGTCACTGAGTATGTTATTACAGCATTTTAACTGCATGGTGTGAAAGAGATACTGTCATAAGATCAACTTCCTCCCATCCAACGTTTATTTAAGTAAAATGATCATGAGTCCCCTAGAATGCATAAGATGTGATGGAGGAACATGAGTAAGAAAGAGAAAATTTCTTCCTATATCTGTAATATGTATGCTATGTAATGCTGTATATATAAAACAGTCAATGCAAGACTCTAGATCAATAAAATAAAAATAATTCAGTACAGACCAAGAACTTCCTTAAGCAAATGGCTCCATCACAGGGGTTGACAATCACTGTAGGGACCCATTGAATTTGTCTGTGATTTGATGAGCATTCATAATCACAGAATCTTCAAGGAAAATTTCCATATTTTTATAAGCCTATATACACACACCATATTGCCACCCAGAATTATCTTTGCGAACAAACAGTCTGTGGAGCTGTGTAACAGATTAGAAAGCGCACCAGACTCTTCTGTTTTTGGGCTAAGTAAGACCACAGTGACAATACACAAAAAAGACTATAAAAATAAAAATAAAAATAACATTTCCAAAGCTTTAAATAGTGCACGCATTGAATATTTGGTTCTATACCTTAGGCAATTTTCTCTCCTGGGTGAGCATTTCAAACACAAAACCCAACTCCATTTTTTCCTTCTTTGTTATGAATACAGCCTAGTTCCGCTCTCAGGTTGGGAAATCAAGCCCACCTGAGTGTATGATGAGACAATGTGTTTCTTACCCTGCCAATGGGCCTGGGGAAGGGGGCTCTCTGGTTCTCAGTTACAATCATAGGAGGGACCAGCAGGGATCTCTTAGATCTGTATGTCAGCGTCTGGCCAAGCCCCAGGATATTCTAAAACAGAGAAGAGAAACCATATTGTTAAACTTTGAAATAACAATGCTTTATATTTTAATGTTTTGCCCAGTTACATTGTCAAGCATGTGGTGATGTCTCTTATAATTCTTACAGCAACCCCACCTTGTCCACAATGACTTGTCAGCATCTTGTTAGCAATTACCCTAAACCCCACAAATGGCACATAAACACACAGCAAGCAGTCAAGTATGCATTTGAAATATGAGAAAAAATGTTTAAACAAGCTACTCTTGGACTGATTCCCAATCACAATGGCACAGTGGTACATACTATATAATAAGGAATGCAAAAAGGCTGAGCACCTGCATCTGGCAGAATGCCCCATATGCTTACCCGTTTGTCGAGAGGAGGGGAAGATGGGGAAGGGGAGGGTATAGGAGGGGAAGATATTCTCTGGGCAAACGTGAAATAACTGTATCCATTGCTTTTACTGCAATTTAATTTACATTCTTTAATTCTTTATTTAGCCCATATGTTCAATATGTACACAAGAGAGCAGTAGAGAAAACTAAGCATTAAAGCAAGTGCAACAAAGATGAAGAGAAATGATGAAAAATCAAGAAATGAGAGATGACAAGGTTTTGGTGAAGCAATTGCATTGTTCACGCAGAATGATCTGAAATGTTTTTTTTTGCTCTTGAGAACACAACAACATAATCTAATTTCATCATCCACCCTGTTGCTGTTGTAAACAAAGACATGATTGTTACTGTACAATAGAGACTTTCCCCTCTCTTCTACACTTTGAGATCACTGATACAGTTAAGGCCCTTCTGCTTAGATGTTGACAGAAATAATGTCTGTCACTGACACAATGAACAGGAAGCTGGAATCCTGGCTGCTAACATGGAGGTGATGATGTACAAGGGAGGACAGTGTGCTGATTGTCTTTACACCTGAGACGAGCTGAGGAGAGACAACAAACACATTCTCTCTCACACACACACACACACACACACACACACACACACACACACACACACACACATACATACACACAGACACACACCTCCAACTTAAAGTCCAACTTAAATTAATTTGTTTCTTTCAGCTACAGTATATATATTAACTTTACATCATGCGCTCTCCATGGAAAAAATTGTGATACCCAAAAAGAAGAAATGTATATCTTATACTTTTTTGATTCACGATTGCGTCACATGTCTATTCATCAACATGTCACAGTCATTAGTTTTCCATCTATGAAGATGAGTTAGAGCAAACAGAGCAAATTAAATCATTTAATTTTAAAATCCATATATGTATGAGGCAATTAAATGTCACACAACAACCCGCATTAGCTTTCCTGCTAATGTCTTCTTCTCATCGAATTTATAACCATGGTCACTGGTCTTGTGTCATGCCTCAACTTGCTGAACTAGTGACCAAACGAACAACTACCAAACACATTGCTAACTTAACCTTTTAACAACCCCACCAAGAAAAAAGCAATGGAAGAGTCAAAGTGTGCTAAACCATATGGTCGAACAGGCAGTTAAAGGGTTAAGAACCTACCTGCAAATATCATTTCAGTCTATTCACATGCTAATGTGGTCCTTACCCTTTATTCCCACTGCTAACTACACAGTTTCCCCATGTTCCCACAGTTTCCAGTTCCAGTTTGTTTACTTTGACTCTCATGCCAGGGCTCAGCCTGCCTGCTGCTGTCAATCTAACACATTGACCATATTGTTGGCTGCAAAAATGAACAATTGAATTCAAAATTCAAATGTGATTTCCGTTTTATGAAGTTGGTAACACTAATCTCTGATCTGACTCATGCTTCCACAGCCCATTGTCCACATGAAGGCAGTCACTGCTAAAAATGTTGAGCAAAATGACAGAACAATGACAGTGAAGGAAACAACACAGCAACAAGCCCAGCCATTGAGCCCTGGGTAAAGTGACAACACAGTCTCAATATGAAAGGGAAATGCCAACCTGAGGTTTTTGTGGCTTCATTTGCAATGCAAATAGTCCCTTTTGTCCTTCATCTTTTACAGCCTACTGTGCAACTCTTTATTGACAATGTGCAGTGCACAGTGTGTATGCAGAGGGCTGTTTGCGTGTTTACTGTTCACACTGCTGTTCTTGGCTGACAGGGACTCTGGCACCACTCTCACCCCTGTCAGAATGACGGAAAGAGAACAGGTAAGAGGGAAAAACTGAGCCATTTGTTTACAGCACAGTGCCGACACTCAGACAGAGAGGGCAATGCTGCCGCCGATATCCAGCAAACACTCCACTAACCGCCTCACCTCTCCACCCTCCCCAGCTACGATGGTCAGAGAGAACATAATTAAACAGTAATCATAAAAAACAACCCGACCAGAACAACCCAAAGACACACTGAGTGGTCTCTGAAATGGCCACTCTTATCAAACCCACTGGGGGTTGACCTTCCAAATGTCAAAGACAGAAATCTAAAACTGGACGTGAAGTAGTTAAACAGAACACTGCACAAAACTGTTTGCGATTATATGACCTATTTTGTGTCTAAAGAGCAAAGTCAGTGGTGTGTGTATATATATATGTGACCAGTTCACAAGCGAGTTGATGGACTTTTAAACACGGCGTGTTAAAATCCAGCCTGAGTCTGAAGCCCAGGGATGAGCACATCAATCCCATCATGCACAGGTCTCAGCTGTGTGTGATATTTGTAAAGGAGGGGAAGAAAAGCTGGGAGGCAAACAGGCACCATGAGGTATTTTTAGTGGCTGGATCTGGGGACAAATGGCAGGGGTTAGGGCTAGGATAAATCATGCTGTCAAATCAAAGTCTTCTCTGAGCTGACATACAGTGGACATGGAGAGGGAGTGATGGCACTTTCAACCCCATTAATGTTCTGCAGGTGGAAAGGGAGACATACTGATGTTTAGTTGTACACAGACATTTGCCCTTCCAATGCCAGGTAAAATAACATACAGTCCTACTTTCTTCCCTCTCACCTACCTCTCTACCTACCATTTTGCAGCTCTCCCTTGTTCTTTCCTCTCACTTAGCAATAACTTCTCTTCTCACTTTCTTTTGCAGTGTGCATGTGTGATGAATAGTGTTCTTACAGCTTGGTGACACCGTAAGAGAAGGAAGCCATGAATCTTTAATGTGTCCTGTTCATAAATTACTGCTGCACCATCAACCCTGAGCCAGCCTTAATACATTTGCTTCTCTTTCTGTCTCTGTCCCTCAAATGATCATTATTGCATTTCAGTGTACTGAGTTGAAAGTATCATTACAAAAGAAAAGATTTTCTCTCCTCCAAGAAGATTTTAATACACTTGACCAGTGAGTGGTAACAAAGAGCAGGGATGCCCAGGTGCATATGTGTTTACATGAATACATTGTATACTGTACTTTTGTGTGTGTGTGTGTGTGTGTGTGTGTGTGTGTGTGTGTGTGTGTGTGTGTGTGTGTGTGTGTCGGAGGGAGGGAAAAATGGAGCCTTTATCATTGTCATCTGAGTGCAGAGTTACTGTGGCAGCAAAGTCACGTCCTTGTCCATTCTGCCATTTTCACTCTCAATGCTATATTGAGAAGTGCCATTACTCATTTCTGACAATGTGTTGGAGACCAGGAGAGAAATGGATAATATCAAGGCCAGCTATTCAATGTGGAATAAATTCTTGGATATGCAGCCAGGCCAGACAATCAGTCAGCTCTCCTAACACACAGTTAACTTCACTTATGTTAGTGTCAGCAGTATGTACACTTACTTGGCAGTTTGTTAGCTACACTTATTTAAAACTAATGCATTCTAATACAAGAGTCCTAAAATAAACTCTACCTTTGTGACAGCTATAATGTTCAGTTTGTGCTGAAACTGTTTTGATTCACCTTTATGGTCACTTGCAGTTTGTGGTGTTTTGAACGGATTGCATTACAAGGAAAAGTGTGTCTATTATTTTGTCATCCCTATTTACATAAATGATGGTAGGCTAAATAACAGAAACACCTCTGCAATTCAGTTCAACAGCACCACGAACTACAAAATGATCATACAGTTGAATCAGCAAATTATAGGTGAATCAAACAATTTTATTAAAAACTCAACATTACAACCATCATGAAGGTCGGATTTATTGCAGGACTGTTGTATTAGATGTAATCTGTTTTAGCTAGGTGAACCTAATAAACTGACAACTGAGTATATTATATATGTACAAAACAATACATTTACACTCGCTTGATAACATGTCCCTGAATGCGAGTGTTGACAGCACAATGTTTCACACTTTGTTAAAGTGTAATCAACAAATCATAAACACTTTTCATCTTAGTCAAGCGGAATACAGCAAGACACTCATGACTGATGCTTATTTCAAATGTTTAATTAGCCAAATTAATTAATATTGTGCCAAAGCTATTATGTGTGTGCAATCTTATATGCAGATAGTGGTGTGGAGTGTGCACTGACAATAGTCCAACTGTTTCAAAACAAAGTCATTATTAAATGAAGTCATTCAAAACTCTCCCTATTAGATCTAAATACAACCTACTTGCACAAATAATGTACAAATTAAATGCTTAGTCCTTTCACTTGCTTTCATTTATATGGTTCATGTGTGAAAAATTAATATACGTAATGACATTGCTGAAAGAATATCTCATGGTCAAATACACTACAGCAATGATTAAAACCCATTACCGAGAAAGAAAACATGACAAATGTGTGTTTAAACTGCTAGTTTGTGTGAATTGGGGAAGACACAGTTTATCAACCCTCACCGTTGCACAGGAATTTAATCTGTATTTATAAACCTTAATTTTTCAACCAACAGAATTTGATTATCAGGAAACTTTCTCAGTTTATTCTCCATGAAACCCATTTCTAAAATAATGTCTTTGTTATCCTCTGCTGACCTGAAAAAGTCATCCATGTGTTGATCCATGTTTCCCTTGACTTCCATCACAGTCAAAATTCTCTCTCATCTGCAGCTACTACAGCACCCAGGAGGTAAGCTTTTAACTAAATCTGA